AAGAAAAGCAGTGAGAGCCAGTTTGATGTGAAGCCATCAGGTTAGAAACCAGGTGACTGAGTTCTAGTCCCATCTTAGGCACAAAGCCTGCTGGGTGACCTGGGGCGTTCATTCTCTCTGAGCCCTATGAAGGAGGAGCCAATGGCAAACCGCTTCTGAAATCTTGCCAAAAAAACTGCAGGGAGTTAGCCAGGCAGTAACCAGAAGTCAACACTGATTCAAAGACACACACATCCTCACAAACAAAACCCTACAGATTCATACAAACGACACCCAACCCAGTCCCTCACCAACTCAAGGGCCAGCAATAAGTGCTAATTTCACTTCACCAATTGGGATGGCCATTTCTGCCTCTGCCCATTTGCTTGTTTTCAGTATCCTTTCTTTTCCTCCGATGCGAGCGAAACTCTACAATTCACATGTAATTTCAAGAAGCATCTTACTGGGTTTCTAAAAAAAACAAAAAACCGATTCATTAACTGACCATAGCAAAATAAAAATAGAGTGCTCAGAGGCCTACAGTTTTTAAAACTTAGTCTGCATAAAAGATTTGAGAGAGAGACACAGAGAGAGAGACACAGAGAGACAGACAGAGAGACAGACAGACAGAGATAGACAGGGAGGGAGGGAGGGAGGGAGGACAGGGAGTGAAATCACCTAGTACAGCAGCCCTCACTGTTCCATGAAGAGAGGTTTTTCCTCGGGCTGGTAGGGGCAAGGTTTCACCTGCTGCCTGCATTCCTGGATGGGGCTTTGCCTGTTTGCACGGCCTGGTTTCCGGCATGCTGCAGCCTGGTTACAATCCACGGATGAGGAGTTGGGGATCCCTGACTTTAGAAGGGTTAATAGGTTTATGTCCCTGGAGATTCTCCAGGTCATGGTTGTCCCAAGGGTGCTTTTTTTCAAGAGGCAACTGGACTTGCACGAGAAGTGAAACGTCTTCAAAGAAAAACAAGAATGTCCAGTTGCCTCTTGAAAAAGCACCTCTGTCTTCATAGGTTTGTTACTTCCTGGGGAAAATGATGACCTCTTTCTTTCCTTAGGGGACGAAATGGGAAAGTACATCAAGGTGGAGATTCCTCAGTGTGGAGAAGCTGAAACAGAGGATAACTCCAGGACGGGGCCACAGATTGGCTACGACCAGGTGCCCGTCAAACATGAGAGGCTGGAAGGACGACCTGAATCCCGAGAGCCCCAGGATGGATCGCCAGTCGGGACAGGAAAGGACTGTTTTGAGCTAGGAGAAGTTCATTGGAAGAGATACCAGAGAATGTCCGTTCTGAATTCCTCCCACTTTCCTAGAGAGGTCGGCCATGAGATCCCGGAAGTCTTCCCAAGCCACCCTCCTCCCGCAAAGAAGCCCCGGAGCGGTCCGGAGCACAGCGTGGTGTGGGACCACTTTGAGTTGGATTCGGAGGACCCCTGCTATGGCATCTGCACTCACTGCAAGAGACGGGTCAGCCGAGGCAAGAACTCAAAACATTTTTCAACATCTGGGCTGCTGAAACATCTGCAGCGGCATCACGGCAATATCGTTCTAGCTGCCATCGCCACGACGCAAGCCATGTTGCCGACGAGCAGCAAGTCGAACGGATCTGTTGTGATGCCAAGTGCTTTGCCCCAGTGCTGGATGAAGCAGAAGTCACCTGGTAAAAGGCAGCCTGGTCCAAAACCATCGGAAGTGACCCGTGCTATTGCCCAGATGATGGCTGTGGACGACCAGCCCTTCAGCATGGTGGAAGAGGCAGGTTTCCAGCACCTCCTGAAGTTGCTTGCCCCCAACTATAAAATCCCATCGGGTACCACCTTCAGCCGACAGATCATGCCCTCCCTGTATCAGGCCTGCAGGGAGGAGGCCTTGGAGATGCTTCAAACCCCAGGACCCCCTGCCAGTGTGAACGTGAGCTCCGACGAATGAATGAGAGCCGGTTTTCTGCCTTCCATTCAAATACGGTTGCTCCTGTGACCAATGCTGGTCAGGGGTAGCGTAACCCATTTTAATTCACTGATTAAATCCATCCTACCCAGGAAACCAAAATAATTGACACGCATGTCAGCAAAACGTAGAAAAGCAATGAAAACACAAATGTGAAATAAACCATACAAAAAAGGTTAAACCGTTAGAAATGAATCCGTTACAGTGCCAGAAATGAAGTCATGTTGACCAACTGGTGGCAAATACATTCTGGGAAATGTATTTCCACATTCTGGGAAAACAGAGGTAACAAATGCCATCTGCTCTTCCAAAGGACAGATCGAGAGTTTTCTGTTCAGTTGAGGCACAAGCTCCCATCGGTTTTAAGAAGCTTCCTTACAGCAGAGTTCCAAAGTGTAAAGAAAAATTGAGAATATTGGGAAAATAGCAAGTGCCGAACTTAACACTTAAGGCAGACCTCTCCAATTTTTCAGGCACCTTCTAGCACTTTCTGAGATGCCTTCCTGATATATCTTTCGTTGGAAATATTTGTCCAAATTAAATTACTCATCAGAATGAAAGGTCAAATCATTTCTTTGATTTCCATTCTCCTTCATTGTCTTCTCTCATTGAGATTTCCAGACAGCATTCAGAACTGGGTGTCATAAATGTATCTCATCACATTTTGTCCTCTTTTAAGGTAACTCCATCCATTCCCCTGTGTTTGGCTTTCAAGCCTTACCTAAAACTTGGAAAGGTGTAAGGATTAAAATGGAACATGAAAATAATCCTGAGGCATAATCTTTTACTAAAAACAAAATAACCCTTAAGGCTGGGTAAATGGATTAGCTGTAGCAAAAGTAAATATCTTTTTAAGTGTTATAAACATTTTAAAAAGGAAAGTTTATATCTCTCATTAAAGGAAGGTTCCGAAGTGTTAACATTCAGAAAAATTAAGTCAAAATCCTACAACTTGTTTGAAGCTTAGTAGGTTTAAACTAAAACAATTGGAAATCTTTTCCAAACTTATTTTTTTTATTAGAATTTTTTTTTATTTTAATCTTTGAATTTCTGCATTGTCTCAGACACGAGCCAGCTAATTTTCACATCTTTTAAGTTACTTATTTTAATATTTCTGTACAATACTTATGATTTAAGCTTTAAGAGGTCCTCAATTAAATCTCTTACATTTCAGTTTTTAGCATGGATTCTATTTTAACTCTTCCATCTTTGAGATGGAAAAAGAGAAATTCAACGTGAATCCTTAATGTAAGCGTTCTAGCTATAGTAGACTTTGTTCCTCTTATATTTAAAAAAATATCTGTTAGAGATTTATAATATAAAATAGAACTTGTAACTGTTTGATTTCATGATTTAAAAATTTGCCAACCTGTGCGGAAAAAAATACAAATGTATGAAACATATAAACACATCAGGTATTCACAGTACAAATAAGCATATACCCAAGTCCTTACACTTGCATAAAAATAATTATAATTTAATGCTTTAAGTTAAAATATTTAAAAAAACACAATTTAACATGCACTATGATTTTATGAGCAAAAATATAAAGAAGAAATTGGGAACCTGTAATTGGTTAGGTTTGGTTGAGCAATGTCAATGAAACAATATCGCTAATGGGAGTTTTTTGGATAGTTTTAAGAGGATTGCTGTAAATCTTTGTTTCTGAAACTTAGCCATTTGAAGATGTGCAGACTTCGACTCCCAGAATTCCCGAACCCAGCAGTGCTGCCTGGGGAATTCTGGGAGATGAAGTGCATACATCTTAAAGTTTCCTGAGAAACAGTGCTGTAAAATGTATTTTGTGATAGCTTTATACTACTACTACTACTACTACTACAATAATAATAATAATAATAATAGTACAACAGCTTTATGCTTTCTCCCAAGAGCCATTCACTGTGTTGCTCAGAAAGAGTTCCCTTTGAAGCCAGTTTTCAGGAATGCTTCCTGCTCTCCTTCTGAAATTTTGCTTGGAAAGTTGCTGGACTATGTACCGGTGCATCTCATATTTCTGTATTAAATAAAGAAGTATGGTACTATGTACTGCAGTAAAAGGCCGTTGGTTTCAGTTCTTAAGTTTATTAACTCATGCTGTGCGTGAGATTCCCCCAAATCTGTTCTCACTGGGCGAGATTCCTCATGGGTTTCCAACGCTTTTCAGTTTCCACACTTCCAGCTGCTTCCAATTGGAAATGGGCCAGATGATCCCTCCATTAAAGAATGATAATACAAAATTGTGGTCCACTGCATTTTCTGATCTTTTTTCCCATGAGGTGAAAATCAATCCTTGGTTCTCAGTTTGCTGAATGTTCAGGGTCACCATATAAGCAAACGTGAATTATTTTGTCTTTCACACCCTTCCAGATGACGAAAGAAATGTGTAATGAAGCTGCACAGAGTCCCCTTAATAAGAAAAAAGAAAAATGAAGGCATTTTTATGATGAAATGTCAACTCAGCCACTCTTCACAATGTGTAAGCTGTCAGAATGCCTGGTAGTACAGGTAGTTCTCAACTTACGACCACAATTTCCTTTGCTAAGCAAGGCGGTTGTTAAATGATTTTATTCCCTTTTTTGCCATGGCTGTTATCCAAATCACTGAAGTTGTTAAGGGAGTCGCAGCCATTAAGTGAATCCAGCTTCCCCCCATTGTCTTTGCTTGTTGGAAACGGGCTGGGAAAGTTACATATGGCGACCTCGTGACCCCAGGATGCTACAACCGTCATAAATGATTAAAATAATTTCTCTTGATCCTGAAGGGGTTTTTTTGAGGACCTATCCTATGCCCTTTTCCCACTAACATAGAGAGTAAGAAAGATGAACTTGATGGAATCAATCAAATCTTTATTACCAACAAGCATAAGGAAGATGGAATACAAACATTTTTTTAAAAAAAACCTTCAAACTTACACAACATTTAAACACAAAAATATATTTTAAAAGCTTAAAAATGTATAAAAAATAAAAGTGTAAAGAATACATAGGGTGGGGTAAAAACATAAATACAAGAAAATATACAGCCAACTATCACAGTACAAAATATCTTATAATTTA